AATTTGATTTAAATGCTCTTTATTTTCTGGCTCAAGTTTATTTACTATACTTAAAGTGAAATCAATTAACTCTCCGAGTTCTTTATTGGTCATGTGCTTCTTTCTCTCTTGGATTTCATTCTCATTGTTTTTGTATCTTCTCTTCATTGATAAAATATATTGTTCTGTGAGTTCAGAACTCAGATTCCATTTTATCACCAACAAAGACTAAATGCATCCTCATCACCTATTATATTTCAATAGATAATACAAATATTTAAAATACTGTATAAATGATATCTATTATAAACTTACTAAGACAATCTACCAACTCTATTAAGAGCCTTTGTAATTTTTTATCATTCCATTTTTCTTCAGATTTTGTTATACCGTGCACATGGTGATTCATCACCTCATTTTTAAAAGATTGAAGAATATCTAATGGTTTTAATTTATATTCACCATAAATAGTATTTGGTCAGAATGTGGAATTATAAACAAGAAAATATATTTTGTAATAAAGTTTAAAAGACACAATATGTCTGTATCCAAAAAATCAATATTTTGCGAGAGGTTGTATTTAAGTGCAAATTCTTTTACTGTATCAGAAGGAATGTAGTCTCGATTTTTTACAACAAATCTAAAAGCACTTTCTTGATATGCTCTAAAATTGGTTCTACATAAGAACCTTGTTTGGATACTGAGAATGAAAACTTATGTAGAATTTGTGATGATAAGTCATCCTTCTTCTCTTCTTCTACTTTCTGTTCATTTAGTAGATTTATTTTCTAAGCTTTTTTAATGTTTGTAGAAACTTTATGTTCACTCGTGATATTGTTTGAATTTTGTGTTTGTGTTCCATAAGAGATATTGTACTAAACAACACGAGCTTTTTTGAACATAGCTTGGTGTTCATTATTAACAATTTTTAAATTTTTTTCTTTCTCAGAATTATTAATGTTAACTCATGCATTTAGAAATTCTTATTTTTCACGTACAGATTTATCATTTTTCATCAAAGCTTGTAATAAAGATATCAAAGCCTGTCTTTTATTTTTTTTTACAGGAGGTTTTAACTTAAGCAGATGTTCGATAGTCACTTTAAATATTTCTTTAACATTATCTTTGAGATTTTCTCTGAGCCACTTTGAAAGTTTAGTCATTGTAAAAAATATTGCATGTAATGTCAATAGTCAAACGTGATAATTCTTGATGTGTAATTTTATACAAGATCTCAGGCTACTATTAGAAGAAATCTGATTG